TCACAAAGAGTCGGACACAACTGAGCGACTGAACTGACTGACATTAGGGATACCCATAAATAGGAAATCACATTATAGGGTTGTAGTGAAAAAATACATGAGGCTATATAGAAAAACACTCATGAAGGGTTTGGCACATAAGTAAACAATGTTTCATATATTAATTAATAACCTTTCTTCATTAATCTGTACATTGATTTAATGTACATGATTAATTATATTAATTATATGTAATTGTGATTTATGATCATAAATGATCACTGATTTAATGATTTATCATTAAATATGATATGATTTAATCTCCCAGTTAAGTTTATGAAAGTATGATGTGAAAGTGTAGGTCTCTCAGTTGTGTCTGACTCTGTGCTACCCCATGGACTGTAGCCCGCCAGGCTCCTCCGTCCATGGGATTCTCCAGGCAAGAATACTGGAGTGGGTTTCCATTTCCTTCTCCAGGAATTGAACCTGAGTTTCCTGCATTGCAGGCAAGTTCTTTCCTGTCTGAGCCACCAGGGGAGCCCAGCTAGTTTATGAATTGGGTGGTGTTCTGCTTTTGGAAATGAGACTGCAGAGGTTAATTTGTTAAGTGACTAATTCAAAGTCACAAACTCCATATATGCCAAAATGGCCTGAAACTTGCTTGTCTGCCTGCAGAGTTTACGAGCTTCACTATCACATTACTACTGCCTGTGAACATCATAAAACTTCCCCCTGTTCCTTTTGCCACAAACATATATATAGTGACTCCCTATTTTTCTTCCAAAGTGAGAATACTGGAACTTTTCATTGTTAGCACAGTCATTAAATAAGGAGTGTTATGACAAAAAAAAAAAAAAAAAATCACAGAGTGCCTTTGCCGTGGAGTTTGTTTCCTCTCGTTCAGCTTTAGTGAAGCCCTGTGAGGTGCATAAAGGAACGTCTGGAGCTCAAATCACAGGAATCCTCTATGATGAAACCTTGTAATCAAAACATTGCCTGCAAGTGGTTTCCATAAACATATATACTTAAGGAGGAGTTTTAAAAAATGAATTTAAGATGAATTCTTGTGAATTTGGTTAATAAAAATTCTAAGGCTTAGTCCTGAATGCAAATAAAATCAAATAAGTTGTAAGTATATCTTTAGGATTAAAATAATGGCATGTGTCATTTTGCATTATTTCTACAGGTCATCAAGATTTCCCCAGATGTGATTCCTCTTCCACCTTATTCATCTTTATTAGCAAAGCCCTGTCTGGCCCCTTCTCGCTTGTCCTGCTGCTAGCCTTTTCACTAATCTTAAGCCTTTTAGTTCATCAGTGATTCTCTGCCCCTAATTTAACATCCCAATAATAATATCTCTACAGTCACAACCACTATCAAACTGGTCTGTCTTATAAGTGCCTGTCTTATACTAACTTCAAAACACAGCCTTCAAAAGGTGCTTAAATCCTGAAGACTGTGCTGACAGGTAACTCAACTTGAAGCTCCTTGCCTGTGGTGTGCAAAATACCAGTGAATGACTGTACATCCAGTGGTGGTTTGACGACTTAGATGGGACCTAGACTTTGGCTAAAGTGTGAGATACACCTAAGTATTGGGCAGGCTTGTTAGAAATGCTGGGAGCCACTAGTCCTGTATCCTAATCCATGACATATTCGAGAGAGAGGACTCAAAGTACATCCTTTGTACTCTTATGACCCCAGGGATATTATACCAATGCATTTGCTATTTGCTGGCCCCTAGTCTCTCTGCCGTGCGTTCATTCTTTCTGTTGATTGCTGCCTGCTCTCTATATGGTTGGTTTTCTTTCTTTTTTGAGTCCTTCTACTATATCCTCCTCAGCAATGTTCTTTTTCCAAAAACTATGACTTCATGGCCTTTTATGTGAATATCAACTATAGACCAGCACCTTTTCTGGAGGGCGCACTTTAGTGCCTGACTCATCAGAGTGAACCTGGCAGACACAGAACCACAATATCCAATAGCTAGGTTAAAAAAAAAAAAAAAGTGAGGCCAGAAATTGATGGTGTTACATCTGTTCACCAGCAGAATGACTGAGCTACTTGTTCTACATCAAAGAATTCTGCTCCAGTGGTACATGACACATTACAAATCTGAACATTTCATTTAGCCATAACTGAGGGTTGCACGCCTTTAAACTCCATCTACTCCTGCCCAGTACTGTTTTTCGAGCTACAGATAACTATCTAGGTGGCAGAATTCCATGCAGTCAGTCACAGTGAGCGTTACAGAACAGAAGCCTATTATCGAGCTGCTATCTGCCAGGAGAGAGCCCGCTGAAGGCCACTCTAAGGAGGAACCTGAAAGGCTGTCCTTAGGTCACTGGTCTATGCATGCTCAGTCGCGTCTGACTCTCTCTGACCCTGTGGACTGTAGTCTGCCAGGCTTTCTGTCCATGAGATTTCTCAGGCAAGAACACCAGAGTGGGTTGGCATTTCCTTCTCCAACAAATAACATATGAGCCCTGAAAAACTGATCGTACATACATACGACCCTCCCTGTCACTACCCCTTACCAGCCCAGTGGCCTTCCACCTGCAGAGTCCAAGCTGGCTCCCAGCCCCTCCTGCTCCAGCCTTGGTAAGACCTGGTGCTCTGCCCGGCCCTCTGTGTCTTCCATCCTCGGACACTCCTGTTGTTACCAGGGCACACACGTCAACACCTGGGTGACGGGGGGTGGTGGTGATTCCAGGAGAGAAGTCAGAGAACTCACAAGCGTGTTTCTCCTACCTTCTAGAATTACTTATTGTATGCCACTGCCTCGGCTGTCAGCGGCAGGAAGAAAAAGAAGAGACCATCGCTGAGAAACAGCTTGAGACTACCGGTGGCCAGCGCTGAATGGGGCCCATCCGTGGCCACAAGGATGCTATTTTGCAGTATCTGAGGAGTCACGTCCTTGTCACTGTGGTTCCTAATGCTCGACTTGCCCTCTTCTTTCATTCCTATTAACCCAGATGTGTCAACTATACATCCCAGATAACCAGTTTAATATGTTGTCCTCATATCAATAATCTATATAAACCCAAGAAGCTGTGAGATGAATAATACACAGCAAATAATACAACAAAGTAATCTCTTTTTAGCACTGCATCTACAAAATGTCATTTCTCTAAGACATATGAGCCAATCCATTTGTACTATGTTTCTTATCTTCCACCAGTTAATATACTGGGGTCAGCATTTAGGTGTGGTAATATGTGGTTTCTGAATTCTATACCCTAAAGGATATTATGCTGATGCCACTAAAACATTTACTGTGGCAGTGTCAGGTGTGATAAGCACAGCCTCCAAATGCATAAACCCTTGACAAAAGTTATGAATTATTTATTAATTTTTTATTTATTAATTTTATATTTTTATAATTTATAATTAATTTGTTTATAATTATTGAATCAATTAATTATTGAATTATTATGTAAAAATAAACCAGTGATGTTCATGGAATTAAGCAGACAGCATAGCCAATGAAATCTGTCATTCTTTTATAAACATTAATGTAGCAAATGGTGCACTACATTTCTGAAGATCCAAAGTTTCCTTAACTAAGTGCAGGCTGCAGAAACTGGCTTTTTATACAGTTAATGGTCCAGAACCAGATGACAGTTTCTAAGTAAAAATGGTGGAACATTTTCTATCTTCTCTCAACCATAACTCTCACTGAAATCTACTGCATTGATGATATATAATGTGGATCTGAACAACACACGGAGTTGCACAGGCTCAGAGACTGATACACAGGAGATAGAAAGTTGCAAATTACTCAGAGAAATCCTAGGGAAAGAATTGCTCCCAAGGAAGTGTAGTTTTAAAATCTTTCATTATAACCTATCAAAGAGAAGCTATTAGGCAATCGGCATTTTTATTAACTATAAAAGGTTAATATATTTACCCATATTGTTTTACATTAATCTTTCAAGGCAGATAATATCACCATTTTCCAAATAAGGAAACTGAAGGTAATAGAAATTATTTTCCCAAGTGGTAGAGTCAAGATCTGAATCCAGATCTAAATCCTGCATTTGCAGTTTAATGGTTATAAAATCTGTGCTGGCAGAGCCACTCAATTACTGAATCTGGGCCACGGTTTCCTCATCTGCAAAATGGAACTAACATCAGCAACCTGACAGGGTTTCTGAACCTCAGCACACTGGTTAGGGGTTAGATGATTCCTTGCTGGAGGGGCCGGCCTCTGCCCTGGAGGATAGGGAGCAGCATCTCTGCCCCCTCTGCCCCCTAGATGCCACTGGCTCAGCTCCCACACTTAACAACAACCCAACCAGAAATGGCTCCAGACGCTGCCAAATCCCCAAACAGTAAAATCACTCCACTGAGAACCACTGACCTAAGTTAAAGGACAGTTGTGAAGAATCCATCAGTTAATACATACGAAGGACCTCAGAGTATGTCTGGCACAGAATATTTAAAGTTAGATATGTTGATGGTGAAGGAGGCAGAGGAGAGAAAGAGGAGAAGTGGGAAGGGGATCAGCCAGGGGAGAGAAAGGGGGAGAAAGAGAAAAGGAAGAAGTACACTTGCATCTGACTGAATGGTACTTACGTTCTATCCAGGCCTGACTGGATGGATATAATTGAAAACTCATGAAAGCACTGATCAGAAAGAAAACTTAAAAAGACATAAGCTTCTAACTTTTAGGATTATTTCATAAAATTTTCCTTAATCCTTTTTCATTTTTACAAAGTAAAAATCTTTTACATAGACAATTACATATTAAAAAACCAAATATTTTCTTAGTGTAATGTCCATACACATCAGCCTAGACTGAACACCATATTGAAATCTATGTCCAAATTTGAATAGATGGAGCATCCATCACTTAAAAGAGTATTATAAATACTACTTTTTCCTTAGTCAAGATAATTAACCTTGAAATGACTTTATACTTGAGAACATTCAGTCATGGAATACATTTACTAAGGAACATTATAGCTATGATTAGCATGTTGAGATTATAAATGAAATTAAACTAGAAAAATGTCTTACTTAAAGTCTTAACAGGATCAGAGTAATCAGAGTCAGTAAATTGTCCCATGACATTTGTGGCTCTAAATTTAAATCTGTGGAAAAAGAAAAACAATTTACATATGACTTTTTTTTTCTATGTATAATTTAAACAAATATCTGTGGAAAAATACATTTTTGTTCAGAGACCATGAATTTACAAAGTATAAACTTAGAAATCTGCCACCATCAGAACAAACAGTATCTTTATGTGAGATGAATAATTATCTTGGACACAGACCTTTTCAACTTCATCACAGTGTGGCTAAAAATTTGATCAGATTCATGACTAGCAAGCAGTTAATCAGATTAAGATTTCATCTCTCTCAGATTTGGATGAAATGACAATGTCAGCACAAGCACACTTTAAACATAACTATTACACTTCAAACACTTTTGAAAATACCAGTGAGACAGATTTAGAATGATCATATAAAACTTACCTTGCTCACATGTAAACAAAGAATAATGCTTATTAAATCTGAGTGTGCATAGCTATATTTTCACTTTATATGCTTCCATGACATACAACATAGAAAATGGGTGCAGAAGAAAATCAACCTTAAAAATCACTGGCTCACACACAGAGACACTACAAATCACTATCACCACAGAGACAACCAAAATTTACCTTATTTTAAAACTATGAACATACAAGAATTTTAAAATATAAAATCAGTCTACATTAATGATCTCTGCTGTTCTCAAATTCTTATGATTTTATTGTTTATATGAAATGTTTTGGTAAAATTATGCAAAATCAATAATTCTTAGATTAAAAACTTTGTAGTATATCATATCTGTAACTACTATTGTATGATGATTAATTTCAGGGCATAACTTAGTAACCCAAGTAAGTGTTCTTAATAACAGATGATAGGCATTTGGAAAAAAAATGCTCTAACTTCTCTTTCTAATGTTAAGTTGCCCTAGGATGTTTATGAAGAATTTAATAATGCTTTAACTAGTAGGCAAAAGTGAAACGAGCAGATTTTTCAAATTTAATATTAAAAATTACATTTTGGAAGTTAAACTTTTAAAAATTATAATCACAATAGTCAACTTAGTAGGAAAAAAATAAGCCAAATTTAGCAAAGCATTTAATAGAGCTAAAATATTGACATCTGTTTTTATATTAGACTATTATAATCTACACAGTATCAAATATTAAAGTGAAATGTAGATATTTTAATACATCATTTAGATGTTTGATAATATGAAGAGCTGAAAATGACTTATGACTGAAGTAAAGTGAAGCCACAGTTAACTGGAAGACAAGGATAGTGTTTCTAAAACCGTATATACATCAGCATGCATGGCATAATAATGAGTTGAGAAAGACAAAACATCACACATTAGTCACATAGCCCTTTACGAAAAGAATAAAATTCTCCTACCTGAATTCTCCAGTTTGTACAATATTCATATTGCCCTTAGTTACTTATTTCAAACCATAATTACTTTTAAGTTTGCCTACTTTCCCTAGAACTGTACTTTTACTGAATGAAAGGACAATGCCTTGCTGATCTTTATCATGCACCAGGTCACAATATATTATGGATATCCAGTACTTACTGGAAAAAATGAAAGGAGGGGTAGATGGATGGGTTAAAAATGTCTACTAGCTTGCTATCATGATGCATAGTAAGCATTAACTATACTTACAAGTATTGCTTTTTTGGTTTCAGAGGTCCATTGCAGATTTTGTCTTCATTACCAGGAATCATACATGCATTATCAGCACCTATGATGTAAATTTCTTCGTTGCCACTAAACTTTGCCTTTCCCTCTGTACATGGGGGGTTAGGAAAGCCTTCATTTGTAAAATATGGCCTTGGTTTATTAAAATATGCATCATACCACTTTGTTACATTTCCATCATGCTGAGCTATTTTCAGAAAAAAGAAGAATTATTACAAGTCATACCCAAATGTATTTTCACATTTATAAAAGGCATTTCTATAATTGCATGAGGAAAATCTGGATGCAACATCTTTCACTTTCTGAACCACCAGGGATGATTCAACTCATCTACCTGGATAAGCAGGTCACCCTATCCATCCCATCACACATGAATCCATAGACACTGTTGTGGAGAATGACGTCTCAGAGAAAAAGCATTCTTCAGCCAAGAGTAACTCTTTCCCACCTTCAAAGAAGCTATCAAGAGTGCATCCTGCCAAAATCCTACCAGCATATATAATAAATATTTTAACCACATCTCTTTTAATTTTGATAAACTATTTAGGTATAAATTAATGATCAGTAAAATTAATGACAATATTGACAATCTACTAAGCTCAAAGGATGTGTAATAATCAAGAGTCAATCTTATATTACTAATTTTGAATTGCAATGTCTTCAGCATTCAGCAGTCCACACTCCACAATTTAACAAGGTAACCTGGCATGTGATGATACCTCCTGCTTCTGCTACAAGCACTTGTATATTTTTGATTGGTCCATGATCATCATTGTAGTAACATATGGGCATTCTGATTGTAATTGTTGTTGAAGTCACAAGAAGTTTTCCTGTGGCATCATAAATAGGGGTTGGTTTGGTTTTTGGTCGTGCTGGAGCTATAAACATGAAGGAGAAATATCACTACCTGTTGATTTTTTGTTCTTACAGAAAAGAGAAAATCATTTTAAATTCTCCTTTCATGCAGGTAATTTACAGATAAAGTGATGACAAACATAAATAACATGAAACATTTTTGTTTGGATACTGCAGATATTTAGAAATTATTACCTCCTAATGATATGATTATATGTTTGAGACTTGCCTGAGATAATGGAGCCCAGGTGTGATTTTTCAGACATCTGATTCCCCTTCACATATTAAAGAAATTCAAATGATACATACATATATATATACAATTTTCACAAATGTATTAAATCATACTAATATTTTAGTGTTTTTTTTCTCTTAAATTCCTTTAGCTGATTCACTAATTTCTGTTCTAGTCATACCAGGAGCCCTGCCCTCCAACCCCACAATTATCCATACCAAACAACTAGATGATATCCTCTCATATTTTTCTTTATGTTCACATAATCATATAAAAATACATAAAGTCATACATAAGGGATTTCTCTCACTGATATGTTTTAATGGAGCTCTGTTAAGTGTTATAATTACACCACATATTGCTTTTTATTACAATGACTGTGTAAATCTTTTCAAGTCACCAAGTTCTGGGTTAATTCATTCTCCTTAATAACTATATTATATGTCATGGTACAACTGCATCACATTTATTCAATTATTCACCGAGTGATGGGAATTCACTTTTACTTCAGTCTTTGACCATTTGCTTCACAAAGCAGCCTTATATCTGTAGCCTTACTCACTGATTCTTTAATTTCTATAGAATATATTCCCAAGGGCAGAATTTCTGGAGCAAAGGATACATGTACTTTTAACTTTAACACATATTTCCAGAATAATTTCTAAAAGTGTCATGATAATTCACATTTTAGCATCAATGCATACAAGTATCTTCAAAACTAATATTTGTAGAAGTTCTGCTTTCATCTTAGAACTCCACACACTAGCTATTTGAACATCAGTAAGTTGCTTAATCAAACTTCAATTCTCATATTTATAAAATCTTTTTTAAAAGCCTCTTAACCACTCCATAAAATTGGCTCTATCATTTCCATTTTATAAATGAGGAAAACAGCCTTACGCCACATAGCTGTGAAAGGGAAATATCAAGACGTGAACCAAATCTTTTTGACTCGATCCTTTAGCTCACTCCTCTGAGATGTCAGGGTTATGATGATATTAGATATGCAGGAAGTTTACTGGGGGAAATATTTGTGAAGAATAGGGAAGCAGGGAGCAATAGTAGGTGGCAAGATCACAGTTCTGACATGTGTAAATGAGAAGGAAGGAAGAAAGGATGTGGCAGGAACAGCCTCCAGATTCAAGGGAGGCCACTGGGGAGCCCCCAAGAAAAGGTTTCCAGTTACAGGAATCTGCCATTGGACAGTACTGTCCAAATTGATATGATAATTGTTAATCCAGTGTTACTCCATGTCATTAATAAAATTATGCATATTACTGGAGAAAAATTCAATTTTTTAGACCCCATCACTGCCACCAGTACTATCCATCTTCTCTAGGTAACTGGTCATAAGTCTACCTGCTCTATGTATGGTGTGGAAAATCAGAACTAACCTTCTTTACTGGAGGATGAGCAACGTATCTGAAATGGGAAGCTTTACTAAATAAATATAATGCATATATTTTTACATACTGAATATATGAGTAAGTCTGCCACTGAATAACAAAGAAATAGTATTACAGTTATATAAACCACCCAATGGTGAAAAAATTTATCAGCTTCATCTTACACTGAATATTTCTTATTCTTAACAAAGCAAATTTCTAGACACTGTGGGTTTTTCAGATTCTCTCTTAATATTCACAACATGAGGTAGGAACTAGTATTATCTCTATTACACAGGCTTAGAGGTGTTAAGAAACTTGTCTAAAGCCAAACAAGGTAGCAAGTGGCCAACCCAGGATTCAACCTCAGCGACTTGACCCTCGACCAGCCTAAAGATGGCATTTTCAATCTCTGTGCTGTAGCTACCAAAGACTGAGAGAAGATGGTTTTCATTTCAGAAAGAGGAGGATCAGGTGGAATTCCACCAAAGCACAATTTTTTTTTTAAAAAAATCTCTGCAGGTTTGACACAGGTTTTTAGAGAAGTGACAAAACTGTGCACATTTTCATTCTTGAGAAGACACCCTGAATAACTGAATGGCCCTAAAATCCTCTTAATAATCTTCTGTGGGTTTTGTGGAATTTGGTGAGGGAGGGAGTCTCTAAATTTTTATATATTTTCTATGAAAAAAATCCCTGTCAATGATGAATTGATAGATCTACTTTATAGCCAGAATCATAAGGTTGATTATATGGTAGTTCAGTAAACACCATTTTATTAACTTAAAAGAACCTGACTTTCAAAAAAAGATCAATCAGAGAATCTACTTAGAACTAGTCAAAGTCTAGTCATGGGCAATTTAAAGAAGGCGTTTTCTTTTCAATAAAATTTGAAAAACATAAAATACAATTATAAAGTTTGTCTCAGCAAAATTTCAATTTAGCAGAAAAGAAATATAGCAGACATTCTCTGTAATTAACATGGTAATTTGCCTCATGATTTAGGTATTTTAATTATAGCTTTAATAAGCATATATTACTACTTATTACTTAATGTATGCTTACTATATGTATATGCATCATTTAAAAGCTTAACTGCATCCATAACTCTAATACAGAATATAAATTATAATTACTTTTTAAGACAATAGCATTTCATGGGAAGGCAGCACATGTACCTTTAATATCCATGGTTATTCTCATTTGAACCTTTGGCCCTGCACCAGCACTATTGATCGCATAAACCTAAAACAAAGAAACATCTTGTTATTATTTTCAAATTATTGCACAGGTGTATGTATAAGCAATTATGATTATATGTCATTTAAAAATTATTCTATTTTTAAAAACAATTCATATAGTCTATTATAATTTTCTTGCACTCAAATTTATATAATATATGGAGGAAGAATGTTAGCAATAAACTAGTTCTTACAACTGATATTATGGTACTAAGCCCTGAGAACAAAGGCTCAGCGACCTAAACAGCCCTATCATAGAGACTAAGAAAGATGTGGCTTCTATTTGAACCCGTAGGAGGAAAGAGCAGAAGAGTCACTATGTCTACACTCTTCATCTACTCTCTCTTCATCTACTCTGACATCTGTTCCTTTTCTCTGTAGCTAGGTAACTCCAGCTTTCTTTAAATCCATATTCAAGACTCTTTTTTTTTCCTTCTGAGATGAAACCCTATTCCCTCAGCCTCCCAGTTTTCCTGTATTAAATCATCCCTCTGAAAGTTGGCCTCTCTGCCCTGCTTCACCCCTGCCCCTAACTATCTGACGCTGTAACCTGCATAATGCAGCATATACACATAAAGCATTTCTGTTTGTATCTACAGAGGGTGATTTACACAAATGTGAATCCTTTCAATCAGCTTTGTGCTTAGGAAGCTGCAGACACAGGCTCTTCTTTAATTCACTGTATCTCACTATATATTAATGAAATAATGACTATGTTATTGCCAATTTCATTATATTCAATAAAGACAATTCAGAACATATCTTTATTGGAATTAATAAATTTGTTTCATACATTAGTGGTCCATCCTCCACCCTATGCACAGTTTAGAAGTATTTTGATTGAATTAAAATAACATATATGATGTGGCAGGCATATAAATGTAGCTTAAAAAATATCTAAAGGAAATATTTACTGGTGTATGTAAACTTTAAAAAGAAAGCATTTAAAATGAAAAGTGATGCTACAATGTGTTTAATTATTTATATTTCTTTACAACCTAATCTTTAAGTAGAATAATAAAGTTGGGCAGTGCTTCTCAAGTTGCAATGAGCAAAGAAGTCACTCACAAACCCTGTTAAATGAAAATCTGTAGGCTTTGATTCAGTAGGTTAGGACCCATGTGAAAGTTACACATTTCTAGTAAAATTCTCAGGTGTTGAGGACAATGAAAATTGCACCTTGCAAATAATCCAGAGATTGATTTAATTTTCTTTAAATTATGAATTAGTGGACTTCCCCTGGTGCAACAGTGAGTGAGAGGCCATCTACCAGTGCAGGGGGCATGGGTTTGATGCCTGGACTGAGAAGATTCTACAGGCCACAGGGCACCTAAGCCATGTGCCGCCGCTGCTGAGCCTGTCTCTAGAGGCTGTGAGCTGCGGCTACTGAAGCTCACACGCCTGGAGCCCGTGCCCTGCAACAGGAGGAGCCGCTGCAAAATGAGAGGCCACGCCCTGCAGTGACAGTCGTCACAACGAAGACCCATGAATAATTTAAAAATTATGAATTAGTTGTACTTTATTTCCTAGTTTTCTTTTATTTGCGAGAGCCAAAACTGTCCTAACACTTGTTTCCTACCATCACTATTCATATCCTTATAGAAATTACTATTCCGATTACTAATTTTTCAGATAAGGAAAAAGAGGCACAGAGTTGCAGAAACTGCCCTGAAAGAAACTAGCAGGGCCAGAATTTGAATCTAGGTCAGTTCATTCTCTTCACCACCACCTTCTCTCTAACAGATCTTTTAATGGGGGTCCATTTAATGGTATGTGTAACAAGAATCCCAGCAAGTCAGATTATATAGTGAGTGAGGGAAATAACACAAATTATTAATGACAGTTTTCTGATATAAAGACTTTGTTGGAAGATTAGTTACTTGACTGTTTAGTTACTTGAACTACTTGAATGCTTAGGGTGAATTCTATATTTGCTTAATAGATGATTTTCTATATAGTTCTTTTTGAAAATTCCAAGACATGCTATAAAAATAGCAAAAGGGTGAGACAAATTGTATGTGTATTATGTCTGATGTGTATGTATATGAACTCACATATATATTTACTTTCCGAAATGGATAATTTAGAATTAAGATATAAAATGCTTTTAGTAATAGTTGTGTGAAATACATGTGAATTTCAATCATACAAATAGTTATTTCTGCCCTTTGCCTTTGCTATTTGCTTTTCCATTTTCCATTTATAATCACACAGAAACAGTCTTCTTTTAGGCAGAACTATCTATATATCACTGCTTTTTAACTTTTAATGTGGATTTTCTTTATGCTTTATTTTTGGATTTCCACTATAATTGTGCAAACTTTTCTGTTATTTACATATTTTCACATGACTTGCTGTATTAAAATAGGAAATCAGCAATTCTGTTTCCCCAAATCTTTTTCACTTGGCATGTCTTAAGCAATTCCACAAACAGATAAGAAAAATGGAGTATTACATAACCTGCAGTATTTTTGAATGCTGAGTTTTTCAGTCAACTATGTAAAATAGATAATTAAAAACTATGTATACTTACACTGATGTTGTATGTATGTCCACCTTTTAGTCCTTCTAACACTGCAATGACAGACGTGTCAGTTTTCTGGATAATACTGAGATTGTGAATCTGGACAGCAGTAGGATCATCTTCTCTATAAACCAAAGCTTGATATACTTGGATATTTCCATTTGGTTGAGAAGGAGGAAGAAATGTTAACTGAAATTTTGTAACTTCATCTGGTATCTTCTGAAATGTCATGTTGTTAGGTGGATCCTTAGGGACTAAAAATATTCAGCAGTTAAAATTATTTAAAAATTTGTGTTCATTCTTATCTCCATATAAAACTGATTTGCTTCAAATTTTTCTCAAATTTCTCTTTATAAAGAGTATTACACAAAGCAAAATGGCTGGTTCATTACAGAATCATTGATGTTTATAGATCATAGAAACCATAACAGTGATCCAATTTATTTGCTTATATATTTAGTCTTTTATATGTATTTATGTTACACAGAATGAACTTCTATGACACTCTGAACTTAAAAATAATGTAGACTCGTAGGAAGTTGCAAAAATCATACATTCAGTTCCCTGTAACCTTCGCCCAGCTTTCCCCAGTGGTGATGTCTTATATAAATGTAGTTAAATATCAAACCTGGAAACAGAACTGGCACAATAATATTAACTTGACTATAGGTCTTATTTAGTTTTCACCATTTTTCATGCTTTCCTATATTTTTGTATGGTTCTATGCAATTTAATTCCATGTATAGATTCCTGTAACCATCACCAGAAACAAGATACAAAACTATTCCATCACCATAAAGAAAAGTCCTCTTGCTCTCCCCTTATATTTGCACTCCATCACTCCTCAACACTAGTCAGTCTCCATCTCCATAGTTTTTATTAGTTGCAAAAGAGAACAGCACAATGACCCTGAGATCCAGAGTTGCTGTGTATATCAACAGTTTATTCTGTCTTTATTGCTGAGTAGTGTTCCATTGTACTAGAATTTGTTTAACCATAAAAACATTTGGGTTGTTTCCAGTTATTTTGTTGTTATTCCTAATAAGCCTGTTAACATTCATATAAAGATATTTGTATGAACATTAAGTTTTCAATTGTCTGTGATAATTGCCTAAGATTGTAATTTGTGGACTTATTGTAAGTGCATGTTCAGTTTTATAGAATACCAAACTATTTTTCCATTGTATCAATAGTTATACCCTTTTATATTCCCACTAGCAATGTATGAGAGATCCAGTCGCTTTGGACCTTTTCCAGCATTTGGTATTATTACTACTTTAAAAATTATTTTATCTGTTTTAGTAGATGCATAGTGATGTATCATTGTGGTTTTAATTTACATTTTCTTAACAGATAATAGTGTTGAAAACATATCTTGAGTTTAGTTGCCAATCATATTTCCTCTCTGGTGAAATATCAGTTCATGTTCTTTTTCAGTTGTCTTTTCTTATCTTTTTGGCCATATGACATGTCGGGTCTTAGTTCCCTGACCAGGGATTGAACCCACGCACCCTGCAGTGGAAGCTTGGAGTCCTAACTACTGAACTGCCAGGGAAGTCCCCTCTGCAATTTTCTAACTGGATTCTCTTTAAGTGTTGAATTTTAATATTTCTTTATATATTCTAGATATTCCTGTTTATTTTTGATAAATAAAAGTTGCCCTAACATATAACTAGCCAAATATCACTAAGTTATTATGAAAAATAACACAGGATAAAATTAGTTTCTTAGTAAGAACTAATTCTTGTCAAACTATATAATTAGTATTTTTTAAAATAAATTTAATGGTTGAATGAACATATTTATTTTAATCACATTGAAATGTACATATTCTTCCATTCTAGCTAACGAATTTCCATGAAGAAGGCTGTTCATATTTGACTATGAATAGCTCAGATATTCAGATACACTTGCAGAGATATCTAGAGATAGTTCCCCTATGGCAAGCAAAACATAAGTAAATAAATAACAGAAAAAAGAGAAGCAGATAAATAAGTTATTGTGCAAATATCACAATGTGAAGAAATGCATAGCTGATATAAAAGTTAAATTGGTTCAACACACATTTTCACAATTGCTATTATACATTTTTATGATATATAGGAATATATATTTTTCTTTTTATGAGAGAGGTTTCTCTAAAATTAGGATCAGCTTTAAAGTTGAATAAGTTAAAAAATTACCTGAGTGTTAGAAAGAACTTCCTATCCTCCAGATATCTTTTTTTTCATATCCAAAATCTACTCTTAGAGGTTTACTAAAGATTTATTAAACTACAGTATCCTTGGAAAAGGTGTCACATTAAGATTTTTTTATCAGAGTTTTATGGTATGAACAGGAACAAGTTTAGCAGCAACTTTTCTCACAGATGGGCAGGATAAGAGAGAATTGCAAAATGTAAGAAAATAAGTACCTGAACATGGCCACTAAATGGAAACAAGGAGAATTTTAGGGTGCTGAGGATAAGAAGTACCTTTCAATTTAGAACTGTAAGTTTATAATAATAGAGTATACAGCATAGTGAAAAGAATATCTACTTTTTTTTTTTTTACCTCCTATACTTACCTTACAGATAGCAACAAATAAACTATAGCAACACATCCCTTCATGTGCTCTTTCCAGAGATATATCTGCTGGCAAAGAACATCAGGAGTCTGAAGGAGGATGGGGCAAGCGAGTTCTGGGAAGCTGAATTTCCACGGTAATTTCCCACAGGTTACAATCTTACTATCCACTCAGACCCTGTCCATACGAACTTGAGGCAATCTGTATGGATTCTGACATTTGTTATTAGATTATATAATAAAACATGCCACTTGACTAAGTGAAGAGAACAGATATGGAAAACATAGCTGGGGGTTTAATTGGCTCCTCTGTCCACAGGATTCTCCAGGCAAGAATACTGGAGTGGGTTGCCATGCCCTCCTTTAGGGGATCTTCCCGACCCAGAGATTAAATTGAACCCATGTCTCTCACGTCTTTACCACTAGCGGCACCTGGAAAGCCCAGATAATGTAATAATAGAGTGGTGGTGGTTTATGGTGGTTTAGTCGCTAAGTGGTGTCTGACTCTTGCGACCCCATGGACAGTAGCCTGCCAGGCTCCTCTGTCCTTGGGATTCTCCAGGCAAGAATACTGAAGTGGGTTGCCATTTCCTTCTCCATGGGATCTTCCCAACCCATGAATCGAACCTGGGTCTCCTGCATTGCAGACAGATTCTTTATCACTGAGCCCTCAATAATAGAGTATTGGAAGCCCTCAATAACAGAGTATTATTACTTTAATGTACATTTAAACCATGGGACATAAATAATTAAAATGGAATTTAACGTGAAGCTTTATTGGCTATAGACAGTTGGAAAAATCATTTCATAGGTAAGGTTGTCCAACTTCTAAAATATTTAGTGTTGATAATCAACACACAAAAAAATACATTTGGATACCTTATTATGAACTAATTTATTTTTGTATTTACAAGTATTGACTATGCTACATAATTCCATTTGGCCTCAAAAATACAAATAGAAAGCTTCACTTTTGTCAGTCCCAGTGAGTCATGGAATTTTATGCTTATATGCTTAAATTTTTCTTGTACCACATATGCTTTGTAGGGTAGAGTGTGAGAAACTGTAAGAAAGACACTTAGTCAATTTTTAGCAGTGATGAAAAATAGACCTCACCTGATTCTAAAGTAGTAACAATTATCTCAGCACTTGACTTTCCTTCCACATATGCAGCACTGAGGTTTCCAGTGAATGCAGTGATCACCACGGAATACCTTGTGAAGATTTCCAAATCTTTAACTTCTATGGTTTTATTTTCTTCATTTGACTTGATTAAGGAAATATTAAATTCATCACTGTCTACCTATAGGGGGAAAAAACAGCTAATAGAGGAAGCAGCACTTGAGTTACAAATCACTAAAACATAATAATAGAAAGCTACAAGTGGTATCTCTTTCTAACCAAGATTTAAAATTTCTTTTATTTACAGTCAGATGGTCCTGGGAAATCCAAAGTGCTACTCTAAGAGTCTACTAATTAGCAGTTATTTCAACATTGAAAGTAAAAGAAAAAAATCAACCACAATAATCAGAAAAAGCAAAAACCATCTCTGTAGTCAATGAAACTTCTACTCCAGTGTTTTACAGAGGAATGAATATAGGTTGGTACCTAGTCATCAAGGGTTCAAATCCCAACCTGGTCACTTAGTAACTTCCAAAGTATTTGATAAGTCATTTATGCTCTGTGTCTAACTTTCTATGTATGTTAAGATCAGGGTGATAATATCTAAATATTTATAATATTTTGATTATTTAAAAAAACAGATCTGAAGTAGCTAGCAAAGGAATTTGGGTTTTTTTTTTATCGTAACCCACAAAAGTGAAATACATTTGGCAACATAATGTCCATATACATTCAGGATGTATGTATGTGAATGTGTATTCTTTATAACTACAAACTGCTTTTCAGAAATACAACTTCTTTCTAAAATGCACTTTGATATTTTCTGCTCTTTTAAATTTTATTCCAATTTTCATTTTTAACATGCTGGTCATAACTGAAGTTTGAAAACTGATCAAGCACCATGCATGGTACTAAATAAGGAATCAATTAATGTAGGTACAATTATTAAATGTATACAAATGAATATGCTTAGGTCTAATAAATACAGTTGTATATTAAAACAGCCTGTCTTTGATGGAAAATCTGGCCTACTCACTGTAAGGTCTAAACATAGCTAAAGTTTCCAGCACTAAATAAAAGGACTTTTCCTGAGATGAACAAAATTCAATATCCTCTTATGCTTGCTTCTATCCGGTACTTGACTTGAAACACTTAAAAACAAATTGGATACACTGTCCTCACTAACAAGTTCATTTTCAACTTGACCCTTTCTTATAACTTTGAAAGATGTATTTTTGTTCAATATGTTCTTCAAATGCTCTTTTCTAAGTTTTTTACTGGAAAATGATGTTGCTATAAGAAGTACAGAAAAAGCAGATACAATATCAGCATTGAAAAAAAAAATCAAACAGACCGAACCATCTTGAGAGAGAGCAGTGGGGGAAGAAAAACAGATCAGCGTAGGAATCCAGCTGATCAGGTTCATGTATCCTCTGGTAGAAAGTGTGTGTTTAATTGGTTGTCAACATTTAAATATCACATACAAATCAGGCTTTTAAAATTTCCCCTAAGACTAGACTTAAACGTATGCTGGCTAACACTGATCTAAAGATGAACGATGGGTAACTCTTATAACGGGGTAGGGGTCTCCAACTCATCACTGCCCACCACTTAGCTTCATGTTGACTGCTCTTCATGTTCCTTAACCGGCTACTAGAGCTATTTCAACTCTGGTTTTATAGAGTTGAGCTGCATTTCTCAAGATTCCATAGCTACTTGGTAACTGTGATAGGATTTGATCCCAGGTCTTTGAAGAGTTCAGATCTCTCTACACTACCACAAGGTCATGAGACCTGATCTTATAAAGTAAAATTAAATTATTCCAATGCCTTCATTAAAAAATGGGTAACAGATTGCAGTTAGTAAAGTAGGAAATAAAATGCATGTGATGTACCATATCTTATAAAATATATAGTAAAATTCCAAAAGAATCCTGTGCCCTCAAAAAACAGCATGTACAAAAATTCATTTTCTGTCTTCACTAAGCCTACTAAATTTAACCTTCTCTGTATAGTCTCCTCTATGTATTATGTCCCCTATAACTGAAACTTTAATTACTTTGTAACATTATATTCCAAAAAGACTGGATACCTCATACTCTATAATTATCTATATTCTGGTGTTACTGACTGTGAGTTACTTGGAAGCAGAACTTTATGTTTTCCATCTTTGTCTTGGTGAAAAGAAGCTACTAAGTATTTGGTAAGTTAAAAAATAAAAGGAACATAAAACTCTTAAAGAAAAACACAGGCAGAATACTCTATGACATAAATCACAGCAAGCTCCTCTATGATCCACCTCCTAGAGTAATGGAAATAAAAACAAAAATAAACAAGTGGAACCTAATTATACTTACAAGCTTTTGGACAACAAAGGAAACTATAAAAAGGATAAAAAGACAACTTTCAGAATGGGAGAAAATAATGGCAAATGAACCTGACAAAGGATTAATTTCCAAAATATACAAACAGCTCATACGAGTCAATACCAGAAAAACAAACAATCGAAAAGTGGGGAAAAAGCCTAAACAGACATTTCTCCAAAGATGACATACAGATAGCTAACATACATGAAAAGATGCTCAACATCACTCGTTATTCAGTTCAGTTCAGTTGCTCAGTCGTGTCCGACTCTGCGACCCCATGAATCGTAGCATGCCAGGCCTCCCTGTCCATCACCAACTCCCGAAGTTTACTCTAACTCATGTCCATCGAGTCGGTGATGCCATCCAGTCATCTCATCCTCTGTCGTCCCCTTCTCCTCCTGCCCCCAACCCCTCCCAGCATCAGGGTCTTTTCCAATGAGTCAGCTCTTCGCATGAGGTGGCCAAAGTACTGGAGTTTCAGCTTCAGCATCAGTCCTTCCAATGAACACCCAGGACTGATCTCCTTTATTGCTCATTATTAGAGAAATGCAAATCAAAACTACAATGAGATATCACCTCACACCGGTCAGAATGGCCATCATCAAAAAGTCTACAAACAATAAATGCTGGAGAGGGTGTGGAGAAAAGGGAACACTCTTGCACTGTTGATGGGAATGTAAATTGATATAGTCATTACGGAAGACAGTATGGAGATTCCTTAAAAGACTAGTAATAAAACCACCATATGACCCAGCAGTCCCACTACTAGGCATATACCCTGAGGAAATCAAAATTGAAAAAGATACATGTACCCCAATGTTCATCACAGCACTATTTACAATAGCTAAAACATGGAGGCAACCTAGAACCCACTGACAGATGAATGGATAAAGGAACTGTGATACATATACACAATGGAATATTACTCATCGTAAAAAGGGACTCATTTGAGTCAGTTCTAATGAGGTGGATGAACCTAGAGCCTATTATACAGAATGAAATAAATCAGAAAAAGAAAAACAAATACTGTATGCTAACGCATATATATGGAATCTAGAAAGATAGTACTGATGAAATTATCTGCAGGGCAGCAATGGAAACACAGACATAGAAAACAGACTTTTCGACTTGGCGGAGGGGGATGGGGGAGAAGGAGAGGGCGGGATGTATGGAGAGAGAAACATGGAAGATTGCATTACCATGTGAAAAATAAACAGTCAACGGAATTTGCCGTGTGGCTCAGGAAACTCAAACAGGGGCTCTGTATCAACCCAGAAGGGTGGGGCGGGGAGGAAGGTGGGAGGGAGGTTCAAAAGGGAGGGGTATATGTACACCTGTGGCTGATTCATGCTGAGGTTTGACAGAAAACAACAACATTCTGTAAAGCAATTATCCTTCCATTAAATAATAAATTTAAAATAAAAAGAACAAACGAAAGGCCAGAAAATGCATCAATTCCTGGTAGAATCATCCAGGGTGATATCTGAGCCCATATATCTTTATTGTGCTGGGCTTAGTCACTCAGTCCTGTCCACCTCTTTGCAACCCCAGGGACTGTAGCCCACCAGGCTCCTCTGTCCATGGGATTCTCCAGGCAAGAGTACTGGAGTGGGTTGCCATGCCCTCCTCCAGGGGATCTTCCCGATCCAGGGATCGAACCCAGGTCTTCTGCGTTACAGGTGGATCCTTTACCATCTGAGCCACCAGGGAAGCCCATGTATCTTTATTAAAGAGTGTCAATTTTTGATTCAGGTCTTCTAGGGGAAGAGCTATATGCCCTTGTGGCTAGTATTTGGCAGAGGCCAAGGTGCAGCATAAATCTTAAATTCAAGGACACATGTTCCTTGGCCTGGGAGCCAATGACTTCTGGGCTTCTCAGGAAGCACTAGTGGTAAAGAAGCCGCCTGCCAGTGAAGGAGCCAGAAGAGATGTGGGTTTGACCCAGCACCCAGCACCCAGCACATTGTTGGCATTTGAATGTATTTAAAGTTGCATTGGGAGTTTGAGATTGACATGTACACATTACTATATTTAAAATAGATAACCAACAAGGGCCTACTATATAGCACAGGGAACTCTGTTCAATATTCTATAATAACCTAAATGGGAAAATAATTTGAAAAAGAATAGGTACATGTATACGGATAACTGAATCACTTGGCTGTACATCTGAAGCTAACATAACATTATTAATCAACTATGTGCCAATATAAGACAAAATTTTTAAAAATAAGCTATAATTGTGTTGAAAGAATGAAGGGAAGACCACTTTAGTTTCAAGAATCCTAGGGAAACTGTGAAGTGTTAGAATCTGTTAATTTTTTGCTGTCTTTAATCCAAAGATATTTTGGTGAGCACATATTTCAATCTGGCAAATTTTATTTGCTTTCTGATGTTTTTTTTCTATTTCCATCACACCATTATGCTGGTTTTAGCCAGGTCTTAACTGTTTGAGAAGTTTGTTTTTTGTTTTTGTTTTTTTTATCATCTCTGTGCCTCAGTTCTCCTATATACAAAAGTAAGATTGTAATATTTACATCAAAAGGTTATTAGATAAGATACAGTAATACAATGCATATTGAAGAGGCTAATACGTAGCTGAAACAAGCTCAGCAATTACAATAGTTATCTTTCCATCCTTCTCTCTTTCCCTTACTCATTTTTAATCTCAGTAAGAATACTGAATTAGGTGATAAATCACCTTTTTTTAATGTTTTACTTTTCCCTCCTTTCAACCCAACCAAACTCCACAAGAGAGCTATTTTCCCTAATAAAGCATCTTCTAGTTAATAGAGCACAGTGTTAACATTTTATAATTTGCTTTTAATGATATTCCCAGAGCACTTGTCATTCATGTTGATTGTTTTTGGCTGATTATGAACTAAAAGTCTTCACAAATATGCTCTAAAAAAGGAAGATCATAAACTGAAGACTGGCTGGGAGAAAAAAAATGTACCAATAATCCTTTAACTTTTCTTTTAATCATGACAGGCCTTTTGAGATAGAATCATTTCCATTTAAGAAATAATATAAAGGCATTTAAAAAAATCATAAAAGTTAAGAGATGAATAAATACAGCAAGAGCGGGAGTAGAATTCACTGTGGATTACCTAATTTAATGCCTTCGACGCCAGCAGAAGGGACTGCTCATCAGCTCCAGTAAAACCCAAGCAGGATGCCAGGAGAAATTTCCAGTTCTAACCCTAGCTAACGACTCTGCATTATTCACACTGCGCAGCACCCTGTTGTAGACAAAAGGCTTGACTCTCAAGCTTGGGTTTCCTACCGTCTGAATGGATAGTCCAATTCGGCGTTTGCAGGTGCCTTTTACTCAAATGTTTGTATTTCCCAGGACACTATCTTCAGGTTAGTCGTTACAGAGGAGTTTCTTACCCTAAATGTTTCATAGTTAATCTCATCTGTTCATATTATTTCATCCATCATCTGAACACCAATGCTTCCCAAATCAGGAAATATAAACTTCCTCTCCTGAGCTACAATCCATGAATGATACTGCTAACGGGCTATCCTCACCTGGGGACTCCCAGGCATCTTAGTACATCTAGTTCTGAATCCATGTCTTTCCTCTACAAATCTGTTCCTCCTCACAAGTTTCCAAAACGTATATCTCAAAAAGTCATCCTTGATGTTTATTTTCACTCACCATCCACGGATTTTTTCCCTCCAGATCCTATAGATTTAAATTTTATTTTTTTTATTCTGTTACCCTCACTCCATTTCCACATCTTTTCTTGCCCAGTTTTACTCTTATGGTTTCCTGCCTCCTTTAATTTTGTACCCTCAGGACTGGTCTAAAACTATGCTTTACAACGTGATCATGCTGATTCTGTAAAATAGAAATCTGTATCCCAATACTGCTTTATTTCCACAGTTGGCACCCCACTGAACTTAGCATGACCCACACGCCACAACAGGTTTTAAGTCGGCCTCCCAATCAAGCCGCATCTCTCAGCCTTTTGTTTTCGAATGTTCCACTGCTTAAACTACTTGCTTTTTCTTGAACAAAGCTAACTTTTTACACTTTTATTTGCACTACCTTTCACGTTCTGCTTCAGTCATTTTCAAAGTTAAGCCCTGATATTGTCTTATTTTGGAAGTATGACTCCTAATGCCTTGGCCATTCTTTTGTAAGTTCTTTCCAACTGTATTTTAAACCAGTATATTACTGTCAACCTAAACTCAACTTAACCTCTTTTATTTATATCATCTATACCCTGAAGATAAATAACAATGACCATGACGACAATATTTTGTTTGCACTTATTGAATATTTACTAGGTATCAGGCAATGTTTTAAGCTCTTTATGTATGTTGACTAACTTAGTCCTCACAAAAACGCTGTACCCTGGGCAGCATTATCTAGCTTTATTTCACAGATGTGGACACTGAAACACAAACAAGTAAAGGAAGCTGCCGAAGGTCTATAGAGCTAAGATTAAAATTCAGTCTGGTTGCAAAGCCTGTACTCCTAACCATGCTCTATACTACCTTTCACAGAAGATAAGACAGGCCTTACTGATTTGACGTCTATCAAATAGAAGGTTGGTCCAGTAATGACAGCAGGTTCACTCCAGCTGATGTTGATGCTAAAAGGTGATGTTGCTACTACATGCACATTTTCAGGAGGACCATCTGGAGCTAGGAAAATAGAAAAAAATTCAATTACCTTTCTACATTTAAGCTAGTATTTGCCACAATATGATGACAAAAAAGACCATAAGAAGGATAGTGATAATGAATTATATGTTATAGTTCACAGCATACTAAAGGGCATTGCCAAATCAAAAGATGTACTTCCTTTAAAAATAATTACTTTACATAAAGAACTCCCACATGAGAAATTAGTGATCATAAATACATGATTTTTAATCTCAAAACAGCATTTTGAAAAGAAAGCATTACTAATTGCTAAAATAAATATTTGAATAAATAAATAGTCTTATTTTAAAATAGCCTAATAATGTTGTTTTAAGAAACTAGCAGGAATGCATTTGACTGCAGAAAAATGCAACTTGTTCAACTGAATTATATTTAAAATGTATTTTCTTACAAATGTAAATTGGATTGTGTATTGTCTTCACTGACGGGATACCATAGGAAATAGGTTATACAACTGATCTTGTCATTACAAATGTAAATATTTCCTCAATTCATTTTGATTCCAAACAAATTCTTTAATTTGTCCTACTTTTAATATTGTTGTCTTTTCATCAGGAGTGCAGAACAAGGGATAACATTTTCAGGAATTGACTGCTGAAAACTCTTGTTTAAATTTTAATTTGTGAAATGACTAGGAATGAGAAGAGTTTTCAGTTTGTTAAGAAGGAATTAGTCACAGTTAATTTGACATAGACATTGACCTAGAAACACCACTGTACACATCTCTCCTAGTATGGCCCCTCATCAATACTGCTGCTGCTGCTAAGTCACTGCAGTCGTGTCCGACTCTGTGCGACCCCACAGATGGCAGCCCACCAGGCTCCCCCGTCCCTGGGATTCTCCAGGCAAGAACACTGGAGCGGGTTGCCATTTCCTTCTCCAATGCAGGAAAGTGAGAAGTGAAAGTGAAGTCACTGCAGTCGTGTCCGACTCTTAGGGACCCCATGGACTGCAGCCCACCGGGCTCCTCCGTCCACGGGATTCTCCAGGCAAGAGTACTGGGGTGGGGCACCATTGCCTCTTCCCGTCAATACTAGGGGCACTATATATTGGGAGATGAGTATTTCCCAGCACTTCTGATTTTAAAATCCACATAAACAAACACTACTGAACAATATCATTCCTTAGATCCTGAGAAGGTATAAAGAAGAAAATCAAATATTCCTTTCCTGAAATAAATCTGTAACAGCAACAAGCTGTATAATCTTTCTCAAACAACAAAACTTCTGGACTTCAGTGTCCTCTTTATATGCAAATTTCACAGTGCTTTAAAAAGAGTTACAGGCGAGCAAGCACAAAATGTGTGAAAGTAGCCCATTAGTGTCTGCCCCTTTTTGTCAATTAATACAAACTATTATTACAAAGGGCAAAGGAAAGATAAGAACTAATTAGAAATACAAATAATCTGCTATGAGAGGGCAGAGGACAAAGTGGTGAGTACAGACGGGCAGGGAGTCAAGGTAAAGTTGCAGAGATGGGGATTGAAGAGACTTTGAAATGTGAGATGGATTTCAATAATCAGAAGGGCAAGCTCAGGGGCACTTCTTTGCTAAGAGGGTCATAAGCAAAGTCACAAAGACATAAACAACAGGGTCCACAGACAGATAGAATTTTACTCCTGCAGCATGGCTTTCCATGGTAATCTTATGTTTATTATTTTATACACTGAAAAATATTACTCTAGGAAGGGGTCCACACACTTCACCAGACTGTCGAAGGAACCCGTGGTGCAAGAAAATTTCAGAATCCCTATATTCAAGGAATAGAGATATCACAGAAAGACCAGTGTTCACGAAGGGGTCGGGGAGGGAACAAGCCAGCTGGTTATTTGGAAACTAAGTTGGCAGCACTTGATGATTATGTTAAAGGGTTTGAGGTTCATTCTTTAAACAATGGGATGTCACTGAAAGTTTCGAAAAGGAAAGAACTTTTCCAATGACTTAGGAGGAAATCTCAGGCAGCTATGAAAAAGATAAGTGCTCTGAAGCGGTGGGTTCAGACAGGTAGTTTCCAAAATGTCAGGTAAGATCTGATGAGCCAAAAGTAGAAGAGTGACAGTAGGTAGAGAAAGAAGATGAACCCCAGAGTCCTGACAAAATTTAATAAAAAGAACTTAAGGGCTGACTAGCTGTGAGACAGAGGGTGTAGTAAAGAGCTAATTCACGTAATAACACTGGGGGAGTGCTGACAGAATTCACAACAGCGCCTTCAAGAACAGATACTAGTTTTGGTAGGGATAAGACCTTGGCTGCTGCTGCTAAGTCGCTTCAGTCGTGTCCGACTCTGTGTGACCTCATAGACGGCAGCCCACCAGGCTCCGCCGTCCCTGGGATTCTCCAGGCAAGAACACTGGAGTGGGTTGCCATGTCCTCCTCCAATGTATGAAAGTGAAAAGTGAAAGTGAAGTCGCTCAGTCGTGTCCGACTCATAGCGACCCCATGGGCTGCAGCCCACCAGGCTCCTCCGTCCATGGGATTTTCCAGGCGAGAGCACTGGAGTGGGGTGCCATTGCCTTCTCCAAGACCTTGGCAGGGGATGCTAAATTTGGATCTGTACTTATTAAGCCTGAGATACTCACATGGACTGAGATGCCTACCTTGCAACTGGAAAACTGAGTCTAGAACAAGGGAGATGGGACCAAGATGAAAAGAGTCTGTTAACAAATTTCAGGTAATTCCTTACAAATTGGAATTTGGCAAGTATATCTGGTTCAGGCTTTCTGAAGAAAGCCAGAAGGTTTATTTCAACACTAGGTAAGTATTTAAGATGCTCGTAGTAGTGACAATCGTTGGACTCTTAATGAGTTCTCGGTATTTAGGACATTTCCAAGAGAAATGATATTATGTGTTTTGGAATTTAGGTACGCAACTTAGCCTGGATTCTTCACCTTTGAATCCACCAGGGAATCTCTCAACTCAGTCCATAAAGTATTTTTTAATAGTACATTGAAATAATTTAAAGAAGCACTTAAATGTTAGTATAGAGGATGTATAAGAAATATTATGTGGGAAAATGGTTTGTGGATGACAAACATATCCTTCTACTTGTACCTTTACTGAATTTTGTGCAATACTCTGAACGCTGACTCAGAGATGCAGTCTGTATGACATCCAGGGGAGACGGGGAGGAAGGGATGCTCCAAGATTCCCAGGTGTGATGAGCTGAGGTGCTAATAATAATGACAGAATATGGTACATGATTTCTCTGGTGATTAGTGTAGAAGAGATCATGGCATCTCAGCACTTTAACACAAGCTGCATATACTGAGTTCTTCAGTCATATTCTAATTTTGGGGTCCTAGACTTAGGAAAATGGCCTCAAATTGTAGCATAATTCATTTAGATACCTGGACTTAACAAATGATAGCTAGGAGAGGTCTCTGCCACCAGCATAACTAATTGCTTTTGGATGCCTCAAAGGAGAATGCACTCCATATTCAAGAGTGGCAACCCTGGGCTGCCCTGGAGGTCCAGGGGTTGGGAATCGACCTGCCAGTGTAGGGGGCGCAGGTTCAGTCCCTGCTCTCGGAGGCTCTCACATTCTGCAGAGCCGCTGGGCTGATGCGCCACGGCTGCTGAGCCCACGCGTTGCAGCTGCTGGGCTCATGTGCTGCAACTCCTGAAGCCTGTGCGCCGAGAGCCAGGGCTGGTGCTCCGGGAGCACCGGGAGAGCCCAGCACAGCGAGCAGCCCACGCGCCAAACAAAGAGGAGCTTTGGTTCGCCATGGCTAGAGAAAGTCCGCATGTAGCAGCAAAGAATGAAGACACAGCACAGCCAAAAATAAAACACATGTATGTTTAGAGAAAAAGAGTGGCCACTTCTTTCCTTCCTGGATATTGCTTAGAAAGGTTATACCCACCTTAACAAGTAGCAGCTTAACAAATAGTGGTTCTGAATCTCTGTATTTAACTGTTAAGTGAGGAGTGGACAGGCTTTAGGATCAGGTATTCCATTACTCATCATCATTATATATTTTCCTCATGGAAAAACCTGCTTTGAAAAATGTAAGATATTTTGAGGGTTTCAAAGGCCTGTCTCCTGCCTTTGACTCTAAAAGAGGATGGGTCAGAAGCTAAGTAAAACTTTATGAAGGTGTTTATTAATTAATAATTAATATTTTAATTATTTGAGTTAAATTCATCCGTTCCAGTCCATCCTGGTTCACTGATTCCTAGAATGTCAATGTCCACTCTTGCCATCTCCTGTTGACCACTTCCAATCTGCCTTGATTCATGGACCTAACATTCTAGGTTACTATGCAATATTGCTCTTTACAGCATTGAATCTTGCTCTATCACCAGTCCCACCCGCAACTAGGTGGTGGTGGTTTTTTTTTTTTTCTACTGTGGGCAGGAATCCCTTAGAAGAAATGGAGTAGCCACCATAGTCAACAAAAGAGTCCGAAATGCAGTACTTGGATGCAATCTCAAAAATGACAGAATGATCTCTGTTCGATTCCAAGGCAAACCATTCAATATCATGGTAATCCAAGTCTATGCCCTGACAAGAAATGCTGAAGAAGCTGAAGTTGAACGGTTCTATGAAGACCTACAAGATCTTCTAGAACTAACACCCCAAAAAGATGTCCTTTTCATTATAGGGGACTGGGATGCAAAAGTAGGAAGTCAAGAAACACCTAGAGTAACAATTTAATTTGGCCTTGGAGTACAGAATGAAGCAGGGAAAAGGCTAATAGAGTTCTGCCAAGAGAATGCACTGGTCAGAGCAAACACCCTCTTCCAACAACACAACAGACGACTCTACACATGGACATCACCAGATAGTCAATACCAAAATCAGATTGATTATATTCTTTGTAGCCGAAGATGGAGAAGCTCTATATAGTCAGCAAAGACAATACAGGAAGCTGACTGTCACTCAAATCATGAACTCCTTTTTAAAAAATTCAGACTTAAGTTGAAGAAACTAGGGAAAACAACTAGACCATTTAGGTATGACCTAATTCAAATCCCTTAAGA